TGGACCTTCTCCCGTAAAGCAGGGCCGCCTCTTCATGGTTGCTGCCCAGGGGTTAAGAGCAAGAGAGATCTGCCTGCTATCTCCCATGGTGAGTTATATGAGTCTCCACTTAACAGTAGTTTCTTATGCTCCCTTCGATCCAGTTGCTTTAACATAATTGCTTTGTTACACTGCACTGTATCACTTTGTTAGGTAATACCCCACTAGTAGATGTTTAGCTTTTACACTGGGTAGTAAAGAATTCTGATTAAGATCTTTTGTCTGTTCACCTCTTTGTTAATTTGTCATAATAAATAATTCATTTGTACAAATGTACCCCTTTTGCCATCAGGAAAACCTGCGGGTGGTTTAATCACACCTCTATAATTCATTTAAATTTAAACTGTTGACACAAGATAGGATTCAGCCACACCTACATCCTTCTCTGAAAAGGAGTTTAGAAAGAAAGGGAGTCCTTTCTGCACCTCCTGATTCAACAGCAAGGCTTTGGAATAACATTGTCTAAGCCTTCCACTCTCCCGTGACTGAGTCCTTGGGGTGGGGGAACAGCTTTGCTCTGCAGAGGTGAAGGGTGCTTGTGGTGACTGCTCAGGGTCAGTGTCAGGAGAGGAGAGGACAGGGAGAGGAAAGGCCATGGCAGACAGGGCTGATCTGAACTATTCCTCACTGATCTCTCCATTTCTGGAAAGCCATGGCAGTGGATGATTATTGGAGTCAGTCTCTTCTGGCAGGTACCAATTATCAGGACCAGAGAAAATGGCCACTAGCAGCAATAGGGAAGGTTTAGATTGGATACTAGGAACAATTTCTTTGCAGTAAGGGTGGTCAAGCATTGCAATACTCTGCCCAGGGTATTGTGGAGTCCCCATCCCTAGAGGGATTTAAAAGCTGTGTAGATGTGGCACTTGAAGACATGGTTTACTGGTGAGAGGCAAGGGACACTGTAGAGGGCGTGTCCCAGGGATGCAGGGGGTGCATTCTGGGTCTTGAAGTCCCTGGACAGCATACTGGCACATGGGCAGTGTGTGTCCTGCTGTCGTTGGCCAGGTGGGTCACATGCCCCCCCCCGAGAGTATATAAAGGGGGCATTTTCCTTTAAATAAAGAGATTTGGCTGCTTGCTGACTGAGCTGCTGGGTCTTATTATATTACATTAATAAGCCACAAATGGCCCCCTCATCGTGAGGCAACTCCCTGTATCAGGGATGATTAGAGAATGCCTTGTAACAAGGCAAAATTCGGTAGCGTTCGGACGGGCTTGTTGTTAAAACTTGGAAAGCTTTTCTCCAAAAAAAAAGCCGGATGTCATATACTGAGCTAAAAGCAGGCAGAAAACGTCATTAAACAAAGGATGTTGAATACCAGTGCAAAAAGACGACTGGGATGTCGTGCAGCAGGACTGCATGGGAGCTCCAAAAATCTAAGTATTGTGCGCACGAGAGATCTGGCAGAGGAAGCTTCGAAAGAAAGAAGAGGTAAAGCTACAGAGAATTCAAGGTAAGAAGCCGGCATGGGAAGTTAAAATTCAAGGGAAATGATAGAAAATAACTATAATGGGATTTCTGCTAAGCAGAATCCTCAGTGTAACTGCTTGGAAAAAAATTGGAGTGACTGCTCGAGAGAAAGCAGAGATAGAAGATGTGGACACTTTAAAAATCTCACAGAGAAACTTAAACTGGTCCACGGAGAAAAACTTTAAACCTCCTGTTTCCCCCATGAGCCTTAACAGACAAAGTACTCTCCCAAACACCGAGAGAAGAAAGAAACGGGGTGGGAGAGAACCATGTGCAGACTGAGCACTGTGTGCAAACCTAAAGGACCTAACAAAGGACTTGAGCTGGGTTTTACGCAGCCAGGAGCGAGCACATGGCACAAACTGTGTGCTTGTTAGGGAGAGACAGACCTTGAGTCCACGAGGCACTGCCAAGCTGCAGCCACGTGGCGGCCACGCCGCGGCTTGGGAATCACCATCTTGCCCACGGCCAGCTTGCCGAGTGTCCCAGCTTGAGGAAACGTGCTTAAAACATGTTAATCCGATAAGCAGTGAAACAACAGAGGACACCAGGGGGGAGCCAGTTTTGTCCCCTCCAAAAAAAGACAGGCAGTCGTGCAGTGCAGGGACAGAGCTCTGCCCCTGCACCGGCTGCCTCCATGCTGCTGCTGAAAGAGTCCTTTGGACCCGCTGCGATAGCTTCTTGTGGGTCATAGCTGCCTAAAAAACCCAGTTAAAACTGATTATAGTGGCTCTAACCAATATAATTCAAGAAGTAAGACCCGCAAAATGCTCTAGGAAAAAATTCATCAGCCAACAACGAAACAGATCCGCGATGGAAAAGGTTGCACAGTAACTGTCAACCTTGAGGTAAAAGACAATAAAAGCATTAAAATGACTTCTTGATTTTACTTCAAGCTCCAGCTAAAGGACCACCTTTCAACATTCAACCTCGAGGTAAAAAGACATTAAAAAGACATTAAAATGACTTCTATTGCTTTACTTCAAGCTCCAGCAAAAGGCGGCTTTGAAGTAAAGGACACTAAAAAGCCATAAAATTACTTCTACTGCTTTACTTCAAAAAAAGCAGAGAAACTGCATGTTTGCCTAGCCTCTATATCTGTTTCTACCACACTAGCCATCTGAGACTGTCTAAATTGTTATTAACATGTTTGTTAAATTTGTTATTAAGGGCAAAAAGCAGCTACCAAGGATGGATGGACAAAGGCTGATAATTAACTGCATTCCAGAAACCACAGACAGCTTAAACTGGTTGCTTACAAAGGATGCTAAGTTTCAAGCTGCGTTAGCATATTGTAATGATAACTTGTTTTATATACTGTGTTAGCATATATGCATGGTAACTACTTTGTGTATCTTTAACTTTATTGACTTTTGATTTTTCTGAACAAGGCTCACTTGTTCAACAAGCTGTTGTCAAGGAGCACACTGCACACCAAACGTATTTCAAAACGGTAAAAAAGGGGGAGGAAGGGTTATAGCTCTCCTCTAGGTGTGTAAACTTACATTAACTTTTCTTCAAAACAGAAAAATCACAAACAAATAATAATTGATAAAACAGAACCAAAGTAATGCAGAGTTCGGAAACACAGTTATGTTTACCATTTGATAATGATGTTTACATTTCAGGTTTACAATTGAAAATGACCAGTGAGGCAAAATGTGAGTGTATAAAGCACCTTAAATACCAAATACCTTACAAAGGTGTCACTACCTCAGCCACATGGTCACACTAGAGAAATTCATTTTACGGCATTTAATCTGCTTTCGTAACAAAGTTGATTTTTCCCATTTACATAAACCCTGAGAAAAATAAAGGTTACAATTTTATAGGTACTACACTGTTGGGCCAAGGCCCTTAGATTAATAAAGCTGTTTTTCCAGGTTACACAATACCCTTTAGGAAAATAAAGGTTTAAGGTAATGCCAAACAGGTCTAAAAGGTTAAAGAGAACACTTCCAATAGATAAGTAAGTTGTTAAGGACCCAAAGTGAGCGGTGTGCTGGGTCACTGCAATGCAATAGTAATTGTTTAAGATATTGTTCTCTTATTTGCACTGTTGTTGTTGCACTGTTTTTCTGACTCGCCTTAAGTAATTGGATTGGGGGAGATGTAGGGACATGTCCCAGGGATGCAGGGGCTGCATTCTGGACAGCATGGAAGTCCCTGGACAGCATACTGGTATGTGGGCAGTGTACGTCCTGCTGTCATTGGTCAGGTGAACCACATGTCCCCCAGAGGGTATATAAAGGGGGCATTTTCCTTTAAATAAAGATATTTGGCTACTTGACAACCAAGCTGCTGGGTCTTGTCTTATTATATTACGTTAATAAGCCACAGGACACCTGTGACTGGCAAGACCAGGACACAGGTCTCACTTCTCAAAGGGAGCATCTTCAGAGCTGCTCCATCACTCCCACAACAAACACCCTGCACCAACAGGCACTGGCAGGCTCTGTGTCCCCACTCCACTGCCAGGCAAGAGTATCCCCAGGGACACACACACACTGGGGACCCCCAACATCCCCAGCTGCTTCTCCTCACACCAAGCCACCTTTGCCACCCCCACAGCCAGCAGGCACAGCACAGCCTCCATGCCAAGGACACGCACACACGGCCCAGCCCTGCAATGCCAAACTGCTCATCTTTATTCAAGCTGGGAAAAGCAGCCTCTGCCCCACAGACCCCACGGCTGGGATGAGATGTCTCCAGCCCAGCAGCACCCAGCAGGAGCAGCTGCCACTGCTGCTGTGCCAGCAGCTGGGCATGGCAGAGGCAGGGAGGGGAGAGGACATCAGGAGATGGTTCCAGGCGACAGAAGCAAGGGGGACGTCCTGCTTGGACATTTCAGGGTTTCAATGCCACATACTGTACAAAGAAAGCAGAGAAGCATGTCAGCTCTTGTAACTTTTCCTCCCACTCTCTCCCACCTCCCCCACAAGGACCATCCAGTCTGTGGTGCAGGAGACTCAGGCTCAGCACACAGGGGCCCAGTCCTTCGTGCAGACAGTTTGGACCTGGGTTATCTCAGTGGTGACAGCCCTGACTCCAAGTCTGTGCAGATGCAGCAAAACCTGGATCATGTCCTCTCAGGTCCTTGGGTGCTGCCCAAAGACTACAAACTTTTCACTCTTTGTTGGCTTGGGTGAGTCCTCTGCAAAGCCTGAATGAGTCTCCTGGCACTGGAGGAGAGTGGGGAGGCACTGGCTGACCTGGGGCTCCTGCAGCCCCACTCAGGGCTGGCCCAAACCCAAAAGGGCTTTTGCCTTCTTTCTTGTGCCTCTCCCACTAACCGCAAGTGCAGGAGATTATTTAGCAGGCATTCGCTAGAGATAACTTTGTAAGAAAGCTTTCTGTGGAAAAAGGAGAACTACCTTTGTGAACCAGGGATCTCTTACTTACCTTTTGCAACATGCTTTAAATGTTGAGCATCTTCCAATTGGTTTTGTACCATAGGCACATATCGCAAATCTGCAGTCACCCCCGCTTAGTAGGCACTTGAATTCGCTTTGTGTTTCTGTGGGGAAAAATACACAGAGAACAATTAAATCAAAAGTCGGGGAGAGCTGTACATGTTTGCAGAAAGGCTGACACTGCCCCTGCATTTCAGGCCAGTAGTTATCCTCAGCTCCAACCTTCCCACAGACACAGCTTCAAGAGCAACATGTCTCACCTAGAAGGACTCTTTCCCCTTAAATTGGTGCACACAAGAGCAGAGAGTGGGAAGGACCAGTATGAGGTCAAGAAAGAGCCTTGCTGGCCCCCCAGCTGCATTGCCAACACTGCCTGCCCCAGCACAGCTGGAAAGCAGGGAACTCCTCCCATGCCACATGCCTGTCCTGGCTGTGCCATGATTGGTGTGACCTCTGAGGGAAAGTCCTTGCCCAGCCCTTGCAGGGATTATGCCTTGGGCTAATGAGGTTTTGGGACACTCAGTTGATGCAGTACTAGATGAGAAAGGACAGTGCTGTGTCCCATGGAGACCCACCAACCTAAACAGTCCTGGGGCTCTTTCACACCCCTGTATGGGGCAAGAGAGCATGCAGAGACCCTGAAAAAGGAACATCTGGGTGCTGAGTTGGAGCTTGAAACCAAACCTCTTCTTTTCCCACAGATGAAGCCAGGCTTGTATTTCCAGGGGCTCAACACACTCCACGTCTATGTCTGTTGGAAATTCACTTGAAAAACTCCATTTTCCTCAATCCCCCCTAACATTTCATGCTTCCAAAGAACTTGGTTACTTCCCAGGATATGGAAAATTCCAATTATGGGGGCCAAGACCTTCCTCCCAATTCCCTCTTTCCCTCTCACCTGCAGCACCGTGGACCAGCAGGAGGAGCAAGGGGAAGAGCAGGTACAGGATCTTCATGGCTGATCCACCACTCCCACGTCTTCACAGGGCTGCAGAGGGCACACCAAGGCAATGAGGACATGGAGGACCCCAGGGGGTGCAGAAGCCTGGGCCCTGGGGTTCCCCAAACTGCAGCAGGGCTGCCTCCAAAAACAGCACATGATCTTTCCTCTACCTTTCTCTTAAGGACAGTTCTGAGGTCTGTGACACCCTGAACATCTTGGGAGTGTTTGGGGATGTCTCAGTCTCTGGGAAATCCATTATCTAAGATGATCCTTTTCCAATAACTTTCTCTAAAATCTTCCACAGACCTTCCCCAGAGAACAGACTGCACACCTGACCCCAGTTGTTACCAATTCCATCCAAAGAAAGTCTCCATTTGCCCACAAAGAGGATCTCGGGTCCCTCCTGCAGCATCAAGATACATTTCCAGTCTATCCTCTCCTTAGGAAAGCTTAGATTCACCTCTCACATGTTCTCAGCTCTTAGACTTATTTGAAGGCTTTTATTCTCTTTCCCAGATGTCTCCGATGGCCTAAGAGCAGACCTGGATACTTCCAGCTGTTTGTCCTCTGGGTGAGTCTGTGGAGATGGGCTTTGAGCTGAGAACCTGAATGGGCAGCTTTCCAGAAAGAGACCCCACAGTCACTTACCTGATGGTCTTGGTGTTCAAGCAGCAGCAAATCCAACAGCAATTGTTCGCCTTCAGATGGCCTTGGGATCAGGGAATGCTGCTTTGCCTAAAACAGCCTGGTTTTATACTCCTCCTGGTGCGTTGGACCTGCCCTTATTGCTGCTGACACAACTGCCCTTGACCAACCAGGCAGTGCCCCATCAGTGTGGGGGTGCTGGGGCTGCCCCTCGTCCCTCCCTGCTGCAGTGGCAGAGGCTGAGGTGCCTCCTGGGGCTGTTCCAATGTCACCCTTATCCTCCTCCAACACATCCTGTGACACACAAGCTGGGCAGGAGCTGCCTGGAATGGAGGAAGAGCTTTGCTCTGCAGAGGTGAAGGGTGTTCGTGGTGACTGCTCAGGGTCAGTGACAGGACAGGAGAGCACAGGGAGAGGAAAGGCCATGGCAGAAAGGGTTGATCTGAATATCCCTCACTAAACTCTCCATTTCTGGAAAGCAATGGCAGTGGAAGTTTTTTCAGATTGGTCCCTTCTCCCAGGGAACAAATGACAGGAACTGAGAAAATGGCCTCAGTTACACCCGGGAGGTTTAGTTCAGGCATTAGGAACAATTTCTTCACCAAAGGTGTGGTCAGGAACTGGCACAGCTGTCCAGGGTATTGTGGAGTCCCCATCCCTGGGGGGATTCAAAACCACGTAGATATGGAACTGGGGACATGGTTTAGTGGTGCTATGGTTGTAAGGGACAAGAGGCACCTGTGACTGGCAGGACCAGGACAAAGGTCTCACTTCTCAAAGGGAGCATCTGCAGAGTTGCTCCATCACTCCCATAACAAACATCCTGCACAAACAGGCACTGACAGGCTCTGTGTCCCTACCCAAATGCCAGGCACAAGCATCCCCAGGGACACACCCACTGGTCAGCCCCAGCATCCCCAGCTGCTTCTCCTCACACCAAGCCACCTTTGCCACCCCCACAGCCAGCAGGCACAGCACAGCCTCCATGCCAAGGACACGCACATACGGCCCAGCCCTGCAATGCCAAACTGCTCATCTTTATTCAAGCTGGGAAAAGCAGCCTCTGCCCCACAGACCCCACGGCTGGGACGAGATGTCTCCTGCCCAGCAGCACCCAGCAGGAGCAGCTGCCACTGCTGCTGTGCCAGCAGCTGGGCATGGCAGAGGCAGGGAGGGGAGAGGACATCAGGAGATGGTTCCAGGAGCCAGAAGCGAGGGGGACGTCCTGCTGGGACATTTCAGGGTCTCAACCCCAGGTGCTGTACAAAGAAAGCAGAGAAGCACGTCAGCTATTTTAACTTTTCCTCCCACTCTCTCCCACCTCGCCCGCAAGGACCATCCAGTCTGTGGTGCAGGAGACTCAGGCTCAGCACAGGTGAGGCCCAGTCCTTCATGCAGACAGTTTGGACCTGGGTTGTCTTAGTGGTGACAGCCCTGACTGCAAGTCTGTGCAGATGCAGCAAAACCTGGATCATGTCCTGGGTGCTGCCTAAGGACAGTAAATGCTTCTCTCTTTGGTGTCTTGAGTGTGTCCTCTGCAGAGCCTGAATGAGCCTCCTGGCACTGGAGGAGAGTGGGGAGGCACTGGCTGACCTGGGCTCCTGCAGCCCCACTCAGGGCTGGCCCAAACCCAAAAGGGCTTTTACCTTCTTTCTTGGGCCTCTCCCAAAAACCATAAACGCAGGAGATTATTTAGTAGGTATTAGCTAGAGATAACTTTGTAACAAAGCTTTCTGTGGAAAAAGGAGAACTATCTTTGTCAACCAGGGATCTCTTACTTACCTTTTGCAACATGCTCTAAATGTTGAGCATCTTCCAATTGGTTTTGTACCGTAGGGGCATTTCCCAAATCTGCAGTCACCCCCATGTATTTTGCATTTGAATGTGCTTCCTGTTTCCATGAGGCAAGACACACAAAGAACAATTAAATCAACAGTCTGGGAGAGCTGTACATATTTGCAGAAAGACTGACACTCCCTGTGCATCTCAGGCCAGTAGTTGTGCTCAGCTCAAAACTCCCCACAGATACATCTTCAAGAAAAACATGTCTCACCTAGAAGGACTCTTTCCCCCTAAATTGGTGCACACAAGAGCAGAGAGTGGGAAGGACCAGCATGAGGTCGAGGAAGAGCCTTGCTGGCTGCCCAGCTGCATTCCCGACACTGCCTGCCCCAGCACATCTGGAAAGCAGGGGACTCCTCCCATGCCACATGTCTGTCCTGGCTGTGCCATGATTGGTGTGATCTCTGAGGGAAAGTCCTTGCCCAGCCCTTGTAGGGATCATGCCATGGGGTAATGAGGTTTTGGGACACTCAGGTGATGCAGCACTAGATGAGAAGAGGCCTAAATGCTTTGTGTCCCATGGAGACCCACCAATCCAAACAGTCCTGGGGCTCTCCCCATCCCTCTACAGGGCAAGAAAGCATCCAGGGACACTGAAAAAGGAACATCTGTGTGTAGAGTTGTAGCTTGAAACCAAACCCATTCCTGACCTACAGAATAAGCCAAGCTTCTGTGTTCAAGAATACTCTCAATACCAAGTCTGTGTCCTGTTGGAAGACCGCTGGAGAAACACTTTCTCATCAATGCCCCCTGACATTTGCATCACTCCCACTAACATTATAACTTTCAGGGAAATGAAAACTCCAGTGATGGAGGATCACACGTTACCCTGATTCCTCTTTTTCCCTCTCACCTGCAGCACCGTGGACCAGCAGGAGGAGCAAGGGGAAGAGCAGGTACAGGATCTTCATGGCTGATCCACCACTCCCACGTCTTCACAGGGCTGCAGAGGGCACACCAAGGCAATGAGGACATGGAGGACCCCAGGGGGTGCAGAAGCCTGGGCCCTGGGGTTCCCCAAACTGCAGCAGGGCTGCCTCCAAAAACAGCACATGATCTTTCCTCTACCTTTCTCTTAAGGACAGTTCTGAGGTCTGTGACACCCTGAACATCTTGGGAGTGTTTGGGGATGTCTCAGTCTCTGGGAAATCCATTATCTAAGATGATCCTTTTCCAATAACTTTCTCTAAAATCTTCCACAAACATTCTCCAGAGAACAGACTGCACACGTGACCCCAGTTGTTACCAATTCCATCCAAAGAAAGTCTCCATTTGCCCACAAAGAGGATCTCGGGTCCCTCCTGCAGTATCCAGGCACATTTCCAGTCTATCCTCTCCTTAGGAAAGCTTAGATTCACCTCCCACATGTTCTCATCTCTGAGACTCATATGAAGGGTTTTATTCTCTTTCCCAGATGTCTCCGATGGCCTAAGAGCAGACCTGGATACTTCCAGCTGTTTGTCCTTTAGGTGAATCTGTGCAGATGGGCTTTGAGCTGAGAACCTGAATGGGCAGCTTTCCAGAAAGAGACCCCACAGTCACTTACCTGATGAAGGTCTTGGTATTCAGGCAGCACTAAATCCAACAGGAATCACTTGGCTCCAGATGCCTGTGGGGTCAGGGAATGCTACTTTGCCTAAAACACCCTGATTTTATACCCCTCCTGGTGGGTGGGACATGCCCTTATTGCTGCTGACACAACTGCCCTTGGCCAACCAGGCAGTGCCCCATCAGTGTGGGGGTGCTGGGGCTGCCCCTCGTCCCTCCCTGCTGCAGTGGCAGAGGCTGAGGTGCCTCCTGGGGCTGTTGCAATGTCACCGTTATCCTCCTGCAACATGTCCTGTGACACCCCCTGTACAGCAGCACATGGGCTGAGGAGCCTGGCATGACCTGCTTGGAATTTGCAGCAGCAACCATCCTCAAATAGTCAATAAGCCTTTTCTCCTTGACTCCTCCAATTTGACAAAATAATGAGGTACCATAGGATGTGAAAGAGGGCTTTTATCTCTGCTTTTATTTGAAGTTTCCTCAGACGTTTTGGAAATAGTATATTGGTTACTGTGTTCATTTATGAGTTGATGTTCAGATCCATGCATAGGGCAAGGAGGGTCCATTTAGATTAGATATAAGGAAGAAATTTTTTTGCACCAAGGGTGGGGAAAGATTGACACAGGTTGCCCAGAGAGGAGGTGGATGACCCATCCCTGGAAACTTGCAAGGTCAGGTTGGATGGGGCTCTGAGCAACCGGGTCTAGTTGAAAATGTCCCTTCTCATTGCTTGTACTAGATGACCTTTAAAGGTCTCTCCCAAGCTAATCTATGTTTTTTTGATTCTGTGATCAGCATCTCCAGTTCACTCCTTCCATGGAAGTCATGTCATATCATGGGTAACAAAAATATCATTTATCTATTATCTTTCTCCTTTTCTTACTGTTTCTCCTCCATCACTACTATATTAAGCTCATGGATGACTCTCCACAACACCATCAGTCTTGTTGAAGAACAGCAGAACAGCTTTGAGCTGCTGAGATAAATGATATTCATGGTGACTGTTAAATGTTCAATTAAAGGATACATCAATGAAAGTGAAGGGAATTATCCTAAAAAGTCAGTGGGAACCTGCTGTGCTGGACCTGGACAGCAGGGTGGGATCTTGATGGTGGGTGTGAGGAAAGAGCCCAGCTGATGTGGACACAGGGTTTGATGTCACAGGAGACTGGGCTACTCCAAATCCAGCAGGGACCCTCATCTTCAGGACTTGTGATGCTGAGATGTCCTGGGAGCAGATGAAAGCATCATCCCCATGGCTCTGGGAAGGGCTGCCCAGCCAGCAGGGAAGCAGAAGGTGTGGAAGTGAGGGATGGAGTGCTGAGGGTGATCTGTCTCCTTGGGATGGAAGGGATTGAGTGAAATGGTTGGGATCCCCAGTTGCTGCCATACCCTTGTGTGCAGGGACACACCCGTGGGTGTGACTGCACAGGGCAGGGGTCTGCAGTCACAGGAAGGCCGAGGTCACTGGTTGTTGGGAGAGAATGGTGATGTAATCCTTGTTTGCCTGAGGCAGGCAGAGAGGACAACCCTGGTTTCTCCCTGTTGGAATACATTTCTGGACTTTTCCAGGCCGGGGTCCAAGAGATCCTTTGGAGAGGTCACCTAGTGGAAGACCTGCTTCCCTGCAAAGCATGAAAAGGTTTTCTGTGGGCTGGTTGCAGGATCAGGCTCCTCCAGAGGGGCTGTGGAAGGGAGAGGGGCTGTGGAGCTGGTAGGGGGGTTGTTGCTGTGGGGCTGGAAGCAGGAGGGAGCTGAGTGGGGACTGTGCTGGAGCACTGAGCCCCACTGCAGATGGGGGAGGAGGTCCCAGCCCACGATATGCTGGGAACTCTGAGACATCTGGGGTGGATTTGGTGGGCAGTCCCGGCTATACCCACCAAAGGAACACAACACCCAGCACAGTCCTGTGCATAAAGCCCGGGCTGTCAGGGACAAGAGACACCCATAGCCAGCAGGACCAAGAGAGGGCTCCTGCTCCCCCAGATGGGGCATCCCCAGAGCAACTTTATCACAACACCACCAAACACCCTGCACCAACAGGCACTGACAGGCTCTATGTCCCCACTCCACTGCCAGGCAGGAGCATCCCCAGGGACACACACACTGGTCAGCCCCAGCATCCCCAGCTGCTTCTCCTCACACCAAGCCACCTTTGCCACCCCCACAGCCAGCAGGCACAGCACAGCCTCCATGCCAAGGACACGCACACACGGCCCAGCCCTGCAATGCCAAACTGCTCATCTTTATTCAAGCTGGGAAAAGCAGCCTCTGCCCCACAGACCCCACGGCTGGGACGAGATGTCTCCAGCCCAGCAGCACCCAGCAGGAGCAGCTGCCACTGCTGCTGTGCCAGCAGCTGGGCATGGCAGAGGCAGGGAGGGGAGAGGACCTCAGGAGATGGTTCCAGGCGCCAGAAGCGAGGGGAACATCCTGCTTGGACATTTCAGGGTCTCAACCCCAGATTCTGTACATAGAAAGCAGAGAAGCATGTCAGCTGTGGTAACTTTTCCTCCCACTCTCTCCCACCTCGCCTGCAAGGACCATCCAGTCTGTGGTGCAGGAGACTCAGACTCAGTGAAGGTCCTTTGTGCAGACAGTTTGGACCTGGGTTATCTCAGTGGTGACAGCCCTGACTCCCAGTCTGTGCAGATGCAGCAAAACCTGGATCATGTCCTGGGTGCTGCCCAAGGACAGTAAATGCTTCACTCTTTGGTGGCTTGGATGAGTGCTCTGCAAACCTGAATGAGCTTCCTGGCACTGGAGGAGAGTGGGGAGGCACAGGCTGACCTGAGGCTCCTGCAGCCCCAGTCAGGACAGGTCCCTTTCCTCCCCTGGCCTCTGCCTTGGAGCATGTAGAGCACTGAGCCATTAGCTAGCCATGGGCACTCAAACAATTTGTGCCATGACAGTACCTTTTGTAATTATAAAACTTACTTTTTGCAGCAAAAGAAAAACCTTGAACATTTTCCCTGGATGCCATAGGGGAAAGAGCACTTCAGAAACCCACAGTAGCCGTTTTCTCGCTTGCATTCTTCCTTATTTCCTGGGGCCAGGGAGGATCCTGCGCAGTGAAAGAGGTTGAATAAAATGAGTATGGGATAACTGTAAAAAATGTGTCTTGTTCCAGAGCAGCTGGCACTGGCTCTGCATCTCAGTCTCCTATGGGCATTTAGCACCAATCCAAACATCTTTACCTCTCCAGTCAGGCTTTATTTTTTCTGCAGCAACATGTGTGCACGTGGGGAAACACAGGGAAAGACCAGTATGAACAACAGGAAGAGCTGTGCTGGGTCCTCATTTGCCCAACTCTTCATAAGAGACAATCCCTCCCAAATATTATGTATATCTGAGAAATCTGGTTGCTTCTCAGGAACTGGAAAACCCCACAGACAGGGGCTCACACCTCACCCATCTCCCCTCTGTCCCTCTCACCTGCAGCACTGTGGACCAACAGGAGGATGAAGGGGAGAAGCAGGTACAGCATCCGCATGGCTGGTGCCTGCCCTTGGTCTTCACGGGGCTGCAGAGAGGACACACCAAGAACCAAACCAGGGTCAAGAATTTAGGGCAATCCTTGTACCAGGAGATGCCAAGCTAAAGTCTCACCCAGTGCTGTCCAGTACCTCAGCCAGCCCAAAGCTGGCTGCCCCAAACATTCTGCATGATCACCCCTGCTTTGCTGAGCTCAGGAAAGTACCTCCCAGCTCAGCTTGGGAGTGCCCATCCCCAACTCCAGACCATTCCCAGAATTCCCAGCAATGACAGTCTCCTACCCAGTGCAGCAGTGAGCCAGGGAAGAGCATGAGGGCAGGGAAGGGTTTTGGTCTCCTGGAAGTCCCCTACCTGATGAAGGAGGTGGTTGAGAGCACACCAAGGCAGCAAAGGGCTGTAACAATTTGACCTGGAGTCACTTGTACACAGAAGAGTCACAACTGAGGAGTATCACTTTGCCCAAAACAGCCTGGTTTTACACCGTTGCCAGAGGGTGGGACATGCACTTCTTCCTGCTGACACAACTGCCCTTGGCCAACCAGGCAGTGCCCCATCAGTGTGGGGGTGCTGGGGCTGCCCCTCGTCCCTCCCTGCTGCAGTGGCAGAGGCTGAGGTGCCTCCTGGGGCTGTTGCAATGTCACCGTTATCCTCCTGCAACATGTCCTGTGACACCCCCTGCACAGCAGCACACGGGCTGGAAAATCTTTGGAATGGGGACAGTAATTAGTTGGTGCAGACACAGCACCAGTCCAGTCTGAGATGAACTGTCCTTTCATAGAATCATTCTGGAATGGTTTGGTTTGGAAGGGATCTTAAAGATCATCTTGTTCAACCCCCCTTGCCATGCCCCTTCCACTAGACCAGGTTGCTCCAAGCCCTGTCCAACCAGGCCTGGGGATTGGGGCAGCCACAGCTTCGCTGGGCAACCTGTGCCAGGGCCTCACTGCCCTCACAGGGAGCAGAAACATTTCCTTAGTGATGTGGTGTGCTCTGGTAAGTAGTCAACTTAGAGGTGTCTTCCTAGAAACTGAGAGCTGGATTAAGTTACCCAGTGACACAGAATGGAAGCAAATGCCAAGAAACAGAATCCTGGCATCTGTGCCAAGTGCTGCATACCCAGTTGGAAGTTTGGAAGTGGACAGGGTGGCCTCCTTGGACAGAGAAATCTCTACCAGTACAAACAGAACCACATCTTATGAACACACATGTTCTTGGACACCCACACATATTTATGCACAGGGGGATCACAATCACGGAGGCATTTTGCAGAGAGGGTGAGATCAGCCTTGGCAGAGAGCAGCCACTCTAACCTCAGGTTGTGTCCAGGGGGTTGGAGAGGAGAAGACCCCCTGATCACACCCTGCAGGGCAGCCCTTCTGATCCATGGGACCTCTTTGTGATATTCCCTTGCTGGGGAGCTGGACAGCCACCCTGGGAAACCTGTTTCTCTGTGAGGTCCACAAAGATCTCATTGAGGTTGCCCATGGGATCATCTCAAGTTCTCTTGAGGACAAGGGAGTCCCTCCCTGCCATGTGGTGGGATGGGACATGGAGCAGCACAACCCCCAGGAAGGAGTGTTTCAGTGTGCTGGAGCACAAGGAGGAGGAGCCCCAGGGCCTCCAGGGTGGGGAGTGAGGGGTTTCAACTATTTATGTTTCCCAAGAAAAGGTTTCTGCACAGTAAGAAAAAAAGGATTTTGGCATCTGAACCCAAAAGGGTTCAGATGTTCTTCCCAAAAAGGGAAGCTGCGTTCTTCCAGCCAACCTAACTCTTGACACTGTGGGTTAAAGTCTTCAGTCCATGTCTGTCTAGCCCTGGATACCTACATGACTCAGAAGAGGTCCAATTAAGGAGCTGTAGGCACTGTAAATTGTTGCCCTCTGGGGTTTCTGTGTCAAACCCAGGTGGGATCATGACCTCAGCCCATGCAGCAGACACCCTTGTTTCAGTGATATCAATGCAAAGCAACAACAATTTATTTAGGAGGGGGAGCAATGCAGAATACATTTGGATTTACTCTATATCATAAAGCTTTTTTCATTGGAAGCGAAAGGTATGTGAGGCTTTGCAGCAGGATCCAGTGGTTTTAGCAGTAAGAAGATTCCAAGTAAATTCCTGGATTTAGAAGAAATTTTCATTGCTCTTCAATGTTTGGTTCACTGAAGCGTTGTACATCCCACGGCCTGCACAAAGAAAAAAAAATATTCCAATTTTCTTTCTGTTTATAGTTCCTCCCCATTTACTCTCAATCCAAGTGTATTTTCCTCTTGAGTATAAGTGTTTTCCAAAACATATAGTATCATGTGTAGTCATGCTGGGACAGCCCTGTGCACTCACACCAGTGAGTAAGAAATATTTCCCTATTGGTTCAGGAAAAGAAGGGAATTGATATTGGGGTGAATGCCTTCGTTCCTGAGTGAAAATAGAAGGCTATTTTTCACATGATAATTTCTTTTTACAACAGTGTTGTGCTCTTTTTGCATACCCTTAAAGGCACTCAGGCACCTGTGGTCACAGCACAGCAACCCAGTTCTGGAAATACCAAACCCTGATATTTTGCTCTGGCACAGGAGATGGAAAGGGACCAAACAGAGCTGAGACAACACAAGGTTGACCTCTCTGATGGTATTTTTTCCTTCTTGCTGGAGCAGAGCATGGTGCATATCTCAGGAGAAAGAGCACTGTGGAGCTTGACCTACTTGAGTCATAGAACATCCTAAGCTGGAAGAGACCCACAAGGATCCTCAAGTCCAACTCCAGGCCCTCCACAGGACACCCCAATAATCCCAACATGTGCCTGAGAGCTTTGTCCAAAAGCTTCTTGGACAACGTGCAACACTTGAGTCAATGTGTAACACTTGACTGTCCTCATGGCATAAGAGCTCTTTTTTTCCTTTATATTTAATTTAAATTCTCAGTAACACCTTGAGATTTGGGACACAGAAATAATATTTGCCTGCTCATACTTCAGATGAGCCTTGGTGAACATGAAACTCACCATTTACAGCAGGAGCGGAACCCAAAGCAACTTCCAACTTTAACCAGATGGGTGGGGCATCTTCCCCAGTGACAGGTCCCTTTTCTACAGAGAAACATTTCCCTCCGGGGTGAAGACAAACCTGTAACATTAACAAAACATTTCCTGTCCTCTGGCTCTGCAGGGCAGGGCAATGCAGCTGAAGGGTTTCCCATCCCCTGAGCTGCCTTTGCCACCGAGTTGCCTTAAAGAAGCCCAGATTTGGTCATTTTGGAAGGCCATGTGAGAGGTGAGGTTACAAAGCAGGTCTACACCTTCCAGAGGTGGGATCCTCAGCTCACACTACATCTAAGTGGATGGCCCTAAAGTCCAGGTGGAGAATGAGACAGACTTCCTGACTCACTGTCAGGACCTTGTGGGAAAGGGTCACCCAGAGGTTTTATTAATGGCTCCTTCCAGAAATAGTTGGCCAGGCCTCATTTTCATCTGCTTTCTAAAGATCATGGCCACCACAGGCACCATCTCAGGTGTCCTAACACCAGAGCACTTCACACAATCATTTTAGGAAGACACTTAGAAGTGAAAAATCACTTTTCTTCAGAAGTTATAATTTCTCCGCCTTTGAAAAAGTTTTCAGCACTGAGTTGTTTGATTAATTCCAAGTTGGATTCTAGTAATTTTAAACGGAAATTGTTAAAATGTGCTTGGGAATTTTACTTCAGGTGCACAAATACTCCTTTCTTGCATCTCTTTCCCATCTTACCTGGAGAAACCTGGAGTGTCAAGAAGAGGAGAGAAAAGAGCAGATAAAAAATCTTCATGACTGTGGATTCCCCCTGTGTAGGGAAAAGGACCAAGAAAGATGTTTGACAGACAGTCCCTGGGATCTGCAATCTCCTGAACTGCACAAATAATGTGTCAATAAAAATAGCAACTATGTGATCTTTTCATTCAAGCATTCAAAAATAACCAGTAAGACCCATATGACATCATGATTACTGTGTGGGGCAACACAATTGCTCACAATTCTTTCACATTTTGAAAACAGACCTTAGCTAGAAAAGAATCATAAAACCCCAGAATGGTTTGGGTTGGAAGGGACCTTAAAGATCACCTCATTCCAACACCCTGCCATGGGCAGGGACACCTTCCACTAGACCAGGTTTTTCCAAACCCAACCAACCTGACCTTGAACACTTCCAGGGTTGTAATCATAAATTTATTTTTAGTTAAATGTTTTATCTAGTAGATAAGCAACAGTAGGCAAAATGAGGTGATTATACAGGCAAAGTTGTAAAGTTCAGAGAAAAATAGTTCATATTGTAATGTCAAAATTTGTCAAGAAATAACAGCTGAAATAAATAATTTTTGTCACAATCTTTGGTCTTGGTCTACAGGCAGCAACTCCAGAATGGAAATGTACAACCAAATCAGTTCCCATTTGATAAATAAAATTTGAAAAGAAATCATGTGATGCTTTCATTGAAAGGGTTAATAGTTTAAAGCATTATCAGCAAACAAGGATAAGATGGCCAAGAAGGGACTGATGGATAAAGAAGTGGCTGTTAATGTTGTATATCTTGGCATTAGGGAATGATCTCATCTGTCACAAATTATGTTCTCTTCAGTATGGAAGGGAATTGAGATTGTGCTGAAATGTCATATTTCTGCAAACAGAATTTATAGAAGGTGGCCCCAGACTGTTTCAAAATTCATTAGAAAGTTTACACAAATTAGAAATTTACACGAATGTCTATATATTGAAAATGTCTATATAATGAAAATATCAGGAAAAACAAGGAGATAAAGTTAATAAAAATAAAATAAAGTTCCCAACATAGGCCTAGATTAAACATATAATATATATTATATATTATAGAATATAAATATCTTTAATATTCAAATATTATGTATATTTAATGGAGAAAGAGATATATAGAGATAGATAGATTTCCATTGAAGAGGCCACCAATTTCTCTGGACCACAGACCTCGCTAAAGGAACCCACCAAGCCATATGTTTTCCCTATGAATTAGTAATCAGAATATTTTTATCAAAGTAATCTAGATATTAGTACATATTTGAACTACTTATTTAACCTGTCCAAATATCAGAAAACTTATATTTACCATTTTCATTAACATAGAAATTAAAGTTAGGAATGCAGAGGTTGGGGGTTTTATTTTGGGGTTGGATTGTTGCGGGAAAGACAAAAGTTTACATTGACAAAAAAAGTTAAAAAGAACTGAGATGTTACCAGGTATCAGGTGAGCCCAGAAGCCAAAAAAGACTTGCTCTTGGTCCCTTCCTTCCAGAGGATTTTGGCTGTGGGGCTGAGATCCTCTTTTATAAGATGTTTCCAAAAGGCACTGAAAACTGCTTTCTCTTCTCAGCTATACATTGAACCAATCAAAAACTTACAGGTTTTTTTGGTGGCATCTAACCCAACCAGAAACAAGCTGCTTTTCACTTCCTGACGATAAAACAGGGTTTCTCTCTCAACCTATCGAAATTTGTTTCTGGAAAATCCCAGGTTATTCATGCAACACTCCTTGTGACACTCTGGTTTGTGTAAGACACGTTAACCCACCACGGTATGTGTCAAACATCTTGGGACACACGTTGAACTGTCCCTGCTTAGGAGCAACATAATCCATTGCAATGCGAAGCACTTGCATGTTCCTCTTCCCTCCCAGTTAGTTTATTCTCTGTTCCATAAGTACAGAATCAGAGAATCACAGAATGGGTTGGCTTGGAAGACCATCTTGTTCCAACCCCCTGACATGGCCAGGGACACCTTCCACTATCCCAGGTTGCTCCAAGTCCCGTCCAACCTGGCCTTGGACACTTCCAGGGATGGGGCAGACACAGCTTCTCTGGGCAGCCTGTGCCAGGGCCTCACCACCCTCACAGTGAAGAATGTTTTCCTAATATCTAATCTAAACCAACTCTCTTTCCGATTGAATCCATTCCCCCTTGTCCTGTCACTCCAGGCCCTTGTAGTCTCTCCCCATCTTTCTTCAGGCTCCCTTCAGATACTGAAAGGCTGAAATTAGGTCATGTTGTTGCTGGGACGGACTACGACATGTAATATTCAGCAAGAAGGTTTATTGGAAAGAATAAGGAAGCAGCAGCAGCCACGAGCTGCAATTTACAGCCTCTTAAATACAGCTCTTTTGGTACATGTATATCACACAGATAGGTCAGCTCAAATACACAAACTACAATTCTCACAGCTAATAGGTAGATTTTAGCTGGACTTTCTCAGTCCTACCTTCTCACAACATTTCTGTGCACCTGTCCCTGTATTCCTTTGATGTTTATATTTTTCTCAGTCACTCTGTTCAAAACAAGTCCTCGTTCTTATGAGACAGTGTTCCCTGTTCCCGTGGGACAGCTCTTCTCCTGCTGCTCCTCTGCTCTCTCAGGATGCATCAGTACGTTGTCAGGACCAGGGCCTTCATTCTCAACCACCCTCTCACTCCACCTCAGGGGCTCGGTCCAGCCGAAATTCCCCACAAGGTCACACCAAAACCTCCTCTTCTCCTGCTGGACAATCCCAATTCCCTCAACCTTTCCTCACAGCAGATCTGCTCCATCCCTCTGATTACCTTGGTGACCTCCTCTGGACTCGCTCCAACAGCTCCATGTCCTTCTTGTGCTGGGGACCCCAGAGGGAGGCAACTCTGCAGGTGGGGTTTCACCAAGTGAGATATTAGGAACAAATTTTTCTCTGTGAGGGTGGTGAGGCCCTGGCACAGGTTTCCCAGAGAAGCTGTGGCTGCCCCATCCCTGGAAGTGTCCAAGGCCAGGTTCGACGGGGCTTGGAGCAACCTGGGCTAGTGGAAGGTGTCCCTGCCCATGGCAGGGGGTTGGAACAACATGAGCTTTAAAGTCCCAGGCCATTCCATGATTCTAAGACATGAAATAGTTTTTTAGATCATATTTTACTTTACACCTCACTTCAGTCAACAAATATTGTTCACTTAGTATTCTAATATGACATATAATGTACTTAATAATTGGTAATGATATATTTGCTGATTTAAACGACTGGTGTTTCTAATTGACCAAGACCTCTGGAAATTACACCATATCTTGCAGAACATTTAGTATCAAAATTAAACTGAAATATTTTAATTGCTGACTGATTCATCAGTTTAGTTACTAGTGATGTAATTTTTTCAATTCTTTGATATTAAATTCTGAAGTAGAATCACAGAATAGTTGGAATTGGAAGGGACCTTTCAAAGGTCATCTAGCCCAACCTTTCTGCAATTAGCAGGTTCATCCTCAACTAGAACAGGCTGCTCAGAGCCCTGTCCAAGTATACAGGTATCCAGGAGTGTGCAGAAGTGTGCGCACAGAGATATATACATGCATGTGAAAACATGCCTACAAATTATTTCCCTTAAAAGCATACCATGACATAGTTGTTTATTCTTTAATTATTTTTAAAAGTGGGCTGCTTCTGCAGTATGAAAAAAAAAGACAACGAATTTCTGGTGTGTCTGTGAACTTCTGGACATGGAGATGAAAATAGAGGGAATAAAATTGCAAAAGCTGCAGTTTCTTCACCTCTTGCCAAGTGTTTGTGGTTAACTTGCCTGCCAGCTGTTACTGTTACTCAACCCAATTCCTCAAGGAAACAAAGGTGCAGCATTAATTTTTACTGTCTCCAAGGTCCTATGTTCAAGTAATGTCAAAGGCTTGGCTCTAATACTGAGCATCCTTAACACCATTTAATATAAATTCTACCTGGTCACGAGGCCCATTGGTGCCATTAAAAATACCTCTGGCTGGACATGGGGAAGGAAGAAGCAGAGGAGGGTTGGAGCATCTTTGGTTGCCCAAATCTCACAGGGGTGAGGGAGGCCTTAGCAAGATTTTGGTTTGTAGCTCTTAGAGTGGACAATCTTTCCCTTTCCACCTGAAGCTCCCATTCATAGGAGCAGAAAAGAGACAGCTTCATACCTCGGGAGGGGCATATCAATATTTTGCCCTTCACAATCTCAGTGTTTTTCTCCATTGCCTTTTTCTGGTAGAAGTGTTTTACACCAGGATCACAGTAGTACCAAGTGCTAAGTTGGTAAGTAATTCTCTCGATCATCTACTTTCTTGGGTTTTTTTTTTTGTGCAGAGGGAAACTTTTCATGGAGAGTTTCTTTTTCCCTAAATAACATGCTTCTTTTTCCTTGTTTCATCAAAGTTCAGAAAATGATCCAGCTACATTTCTCTCTATCTGCAGGGCAAGCTTTCACTCCAAGTTAGAGTTCACCAATAATGTCACATTCCCTCACCCTTTTCAGGTCCAGGTTGCCCAGTCCTCTTTGGAGGAGGAGAAACACTGTGATGGGGTCAGAATTTTGTGTAATAAAAGTGCTGAAGAGCTACTCTGCCTGATGCAGGAGGGATCCACTATTAAGGGAAGTGTCCTCACAAAGAGGTTGCAGAGTGTCAGGTGGAGAAACGTCTTTCACTGTTTTTAAATCAAGATGTTTGGGCAATTTTGCCAAGATCACTTATGAGAGAGGAAGGAGGATTTTATCTCCATCTTAGGAGTTTGTATCTAGCACAGAAGATGAGGCAATTAGGAGCAAAAAGGAGAATCTCAAACTCTGCTCCTAGTAAAAACTCTGCTCTTGGGAAAAAAACCAGGCAAATATTAGGGATGTGTTTCAGTAGTGTTACCCCTATTTAACATGCTACTACACCTGTCTGCTGTTCCATCCCTTGCCTCCAGAGGAAACTTCATTCGTGGCAATGATCCTCCAGGCACCTGGAAGTCATTGTATGCAGGCATGGATGGAAGATCAGGAATAAAAAGAGGCTGAGCCCTAGCAACCTGCCAAAGGACAGATGGTTTAGCGTGCTCCAAAGAAGAGCTGGGTTGGGTAACACTGGTGGTTGGGGGCTGAGTTAACCTCAAACTGCTCCTCAGTGACACAGTAACATCATCCCTCTTAGCCTCTTTCATGTGCACCAATCCAAATTCCAGCCAGAAGACAGTCGATGCAGAGGAGAACAAGATATGCTTTGATGACACTGTAGAGTGTTTATTATAGAAATTCAGACTCCTCTAGAGTAGCTACAAAAGCTGCTAGCAGCAGTTTCACTGCCAAAGTAGGTCCACCAAAAGGAGGAAACCAGTATTTAGGTGTTTTATAGTGGTGAATTTGCAAGGCATGTGGTGCATTATAGTTAATAGGTAAAGTTTTGACCCAAGTCATAGAATAACCTGAGTTGGAAGGGACCCACAAGGATCATCAGTCCAACTCCTGGTCCTGCAGAGGACAACTCAACAATCCCACTCTGTTCCTGAGAGTGTTGTCCAAACACTCCTTGAGCTCTGGAAGCCTTGGTGCTGTGACCACTGCCCTGGGGAGCCTGTTCAGTGCCCAACCACCCTCTGGGGGAAGAACCTTCTCCTAATATCCAGCCTAAACTTCCCTGACACAACTTCAGGCCATTCCCTTGGGTTCTGTCACTGGTCATCATAAGAAGAGACCATTTGAATCAATAATAAATGCATGCAAAGTCATGAACTTCAAATTGTACACAAAATGTACTTAATCAAGCTCAAGACTTTAATCGTGTTATTATCTTGAGTAAACAGGGAGAATTTATGAGATTAACATCTGTATGAACAAATCTGCCCTCCTTATTGTTTTTGACTTGACACCTAATTAAAGCTACAGGAGCATCAGTGCAGAGTCCAGTCTCTTGGTGTAAGTACCACACTGTGACTGGCAGGTGTGTATGTGAGCAAAGCTCCTTGGTACAGGCCATGTAGCCTAAAGTTCCTAAAATCCAAAGAATCCCTGTAAACTGAATTATATTTTCTAGAGACAAATGGCAGGAGTGATCTCACCAAACCTCAGATGTCCTAAAGGTAAATTCAACTGTCCTAATGGTAAATATCTTCCTTTATAGACAATGGATTGGAATTGTTCTATAGATTTTTAGCTGGAATGCAGACATTTATAATAAGATTGCTAGTAAAAAATAAAAAAAAAAACAAAACAACAAAGTAACAGTAAGGACAGAAGTAACACAGAAATGTTGGATGAGGAGATGATGTGCAACAGCACCTCCTGCAGGCACTAATTCTGCAGAACAGCAATAACAGGAGCGGTGTCGGTAGCAGAGGCAGCATTTCCCCTTCAGAGTCTTTTTACATATGTTAACACCTCTCCAAACCCACCCAACAAGTCAATAGGTTTGGTAGTGTACTCCACTGGGCACTGATCTGTGCACATTCAGCAGCTGCTCCTGAAGAGACAGCAGCCAAATCACTATGTTGCACATCCATAACTTTTGGAAATGTGTTTCTTAGTCTCTTTCTCTTTCCTTCTTTGTACCTTTCTTTTTGGTTTGTGTGGCTCTCAGGGATTTGATGTAATCCAAAATGATCCCGTTTTTCCCTTGCATAAGGTTCCCTAGAAGTGATATTTCTCAGATGCCTCCAGGACCTCTGAAAGAAGCATCTGGAGATACCTTGGCTTTATCTACACTGCTGGGCCATGAGGGTGAGGAAAAAGACACAGAGAGCACACATTCTGTCTCTGACACCTCACTTAAAAATGTCATAATACCTTCAAGAAGCAGCCTGGAAACTCTTGGAATGTGTAACACAAGCACCCATTAAATCCTCACAGAGAGAAGCAAGGCTTCATCCCTGACAGATACAATGGTCACTACAGGATTGTTCCAGGAATGTGGCCATTGGGAAGCAGGGGATGGGATGACCTACCTTTTCCCTGATGGTGCAGCAGGATGAATTGTCTGGCTGTAAAAGCCACCAGCCCACCTGTGTGTTACTGCCCATGACAGGAGCAGTTCTATGAACTATCCCCTCCTTCCCTACAAAAAACACCTGAGGTTCAACCACACAAATGCCACCAGAACTGATTTTATTAAAGGAGGGGAAAGAAGCAGTTTCCACAGTGTTGCCTGGTTCACATTTGTGCTGATGTTTGCTTCACTTCAAGGGAAGATTGTCACAGACTTTCATTGCAGCAGGAACTGCTGTCACCAGGAGCGATGGGTCAGGGTGTTTCGGAAGCCATTGGATAGAAGCAGAAAGGATTTCCAAGGGGAATCTAGGGAGTATTCAGCTTCACCACCCCCTGCATGGTGAAGAAGAGTCTCAGGTTACCTACTCGTAGGTTTTCTATTGTTCTCCCCATCCCATGGCACCACAGCAGAGGCTGCCATGGGATGTGAATTCCCCCTGAGGATGCTCTGTGCAGCAGGTTTGGTATTGGAGAAGTGAGACAGGATGGTGGCAGGAGCTGTGCCTCTAAAGTGCTGCTCTGGAGAAAAGACAAGGAGGATATCAGTCATTCCCACAGTGATCCCTGTGCTTCCACATACCTTCTGCAGCAAGAAAATCCATTCCGACATCTTCCGATCCAGTAGTATGGACGACGACATATCCCTGGGGTGCAGTGTCCATTTCGGGCCTCACAAGGATCACGTAGAATGAAGGGCTGACCTGCCCAGCAGAAAGAGAAGAGTCATTTACTATTAATATGAGCAAAAGGGGATGCACTCTCTCTACCTACCTCACTCCTTACCTGCAGCCCCTTGGAGCACCAGGAAGAGGACAACCAGGAGCTGGTAAAGGATCCTCATGGCCACAGCTGGGATGTGAATTCCTTAACTGTAATGAGCAGAGAGCACAAGATCAAAAGATACTGAATGGAGGGTCCCCTCCTGACTGGGAGATGAGGAAATGATTAAAACATGCCCTGAGAGACCAAAGCCAAAATCTCCTAAAATACCGGGTTTGGACAAAGAACAGAGTGAAATCTGCATCCTTGGAGATACTCATAGTTTCAGTGAATGCATCTCTAAACAACTTGTCCTAATTAGCACTATTTTGAGCATGGATTCAGACTAGAAACTTCTGGACTACCTTTGAACCTAAAGTATTCTAGGATTTTATGATGTTTTGGTGTTGTTCTTTAGTTTTGTTGTTTATAAAATATTGGTTTTCTTGCACTGAAAAAATGATACCCTGGATCTGTTCAACACCAGGCAGGTTACTTTGGTACCCACATAGACCCACAAATTATTCCCCTTCAATCTACTCTAGTTCACAATGTTCAGAGACCCAGCCAATTTTAATCCTTAGGAAACTCTAAAAAAGACATCTCCATCTCTTCAACATCAGCTGAGGTTACTCAAAATGTTACTGGCATTCTGGCAAGATTTGTGGTTCAAAAGGCAGCACTCAAGTGCTGTGCTGGCTGGGTGACTGCTTCTGTAGGAAACTACATATTTCTGTCTCTGATGCCTCAAGGGAAGGTTTCCATATATCCTTTTCTCTTGGAAATCAGAATCCCAGTGTCCTCCTACCAGCCCTGCAAGCGACCAACCAACCCATGGTCCTGTAGAACACATAGAGATCAGATGCATTCACTGGAGCAATAAGAAGGAGGGATTAATCAAAGCAGAGACTTAGACTTGAGATTAACAAAAAGAAAAGAAGTGTATAAAGATGAAGAGGTGAGGGTGCCTCTCCAGAACCAGGCAGAGTTACCAGTGCAGGAACTGGAGGATCAATGTTGCTCTCTGTCTGTTCTCCACGGGGTGCACCAGCCCCAAACTTGCATATAAGGGGTTGGGGATGTGACAGCACAGTCATGGGCCAATGAAAAAAAGCCTTTTCTGGCCAAAATTTGTCCTGAATGTCGGTTTGTTCCAACGAGAAATGAAGGTCCACTTTGAGACTGCTTTCACCACAAACCCCCCGATCTTTGTGCAACCCATCTTGGACCATCCAAGTTTGTGTAAGATACGTTAGACCACAGGGTTGCATAAAATACCTGGGAACGTGCAATGACTGCTCCTTCTGGTCCTGCAGGCTCTTTTTCCATAGAATCATACAATTCTAAGGAAGGGACCTTAAAGCTCAATTCATTCCAACCCTCTGCCATGGGCAGGGACACCTTCCACTAGACCAAGTTGCTCCAAGCCCCATCCAGCCTGGCCTTGGACACTTCCAGGGATCCAGGGGTAGCCACAGTTTCTCTGGGGAAACCTGTGCCAGGGCCTGAGGCTGGATGTGGCACTTACTGCCATGGTCTAGCAACTATGGTGGTAGTGGATCAAGGATTGGACTTGATGATCTCAGAGGTCCTTTCCAACCCGTCTGATTCTATGATTCTATGATTCTATGAATGTGGGAGTGACCCGGGAGGGTGGGAGTAACCTGGCAGGATGGGAGCAGCCCCGGGACAGTGGGAGAAGCCCCGGGAAAGTGAGAACAGCCCTGGTAGGGCGGGAGCAGTCGCGGAAGGTGGAAGCAGCCTGGGAAGGTGGGAGTGACCCGGCAGGGTGGGAACAGCTCGAGAGGGCGGGAGCAACTCCGGGACAGTGGGAGAAACCCCGGGAAAGTGAGAACAGCCCCGGGAGGGCGGGAGCAGCCTTGGAGGGTGGGAGAGCAGCCTCGGGAAGGTGGGAGCATTCCTGGGAGGGCAGGAGCAGCCCGGGAAGACGGAAGCAGCCCTGTAGGGGGGAGCAGGCTGGGAGGGGACAGGGGGCAACCCGGGAGGGTGGGAGCAGCACGAGGAAGGTGGGAGCAGCCCCGGACAGGTGAGAGCAGACCGCGCGGTGCCGGCACCCGGTGCGCTCCGAAACCTGTTGTCACTGACAACGCCTTAATTCCTTTACACCTACCGCAGCAATCCGCTTCGGGGAAGCCGTGGAGCGGCTCAGAAAGGACGAGGTGCGGCTTCAATACACCTTGGCTTTATCGCAGGGGGAAAGCGCGCGGCCCTGGTCACGGGAAGAGGCCGCAGGGCTCTTGGGATCTGCTCAAGGCTTTGCCAGCAGGCTGCGCCGCTCCCGGGACAGCTTCACCCTGTCCCTGTCCCTGCTGCCACCTCGGGTCACATGTCCTGCTCTGAAGTTCCCCGGCCCAGCTGTGGCTGCTCCCTGCCCTGCAAAGATGCTCCGAGGGCTGGAGCCCCTCTGCTCTGGAGCCAGGCTGGGAGAGCTGGGGGTGTTCACCTGGAGAAGGCTCCAGGGAGACCTTAGAGCCCCTTCCAGTGCCTAAAGGGGCTCCAGGAGAGCTGGAGAGGGACTTGGGACAAGGGCCTGGAGGGACAGGACAAGGGGGAATGGCTTCCCACTACCAAAGGGAAGGGTTAGATGGGATACGGAAAGGAATTTTTGGCTGTGAGGGTGGTGAGGCCCTGGCACAGGTTTCCCAGAGAAGCTGTGGCTGCCCCATCCCTGGAACTGTTCAAGGCCAGGCTGGACGGGGCTTGGAGCAATCTGGGCTAGTGGAAGGTGTCCCTGCCTATGGCAGGAGGTGGAATTGGATGAACTTTAAGGTTCCTTCCCACTCAAACCATCCTGGGATTCTATGATAATACACAAGTCAGTGCAAGAAAAAAAGGATTTGTTACAATCGCTAGAAAAAGGAATCAAGGTTACCTTTTCCATTCAAGGAAGCCACGAGCCCACACCCATCAGGAGATGATTCTAGATGAAGGAGGCACTGCAGGGAAGGAGGGGGAATGTGACCTCCAAGTTTAGACAGAGCCTATGTGAAAGGCACAAATAAAACCTATTTTTCCAAAGCACATTCCCCTCTGCCTCTCTCTCCCTCATCCCTCTTCTCCACAAAGAGGAAATTTCCAATTAGCAGGAAAAAATCCTCATTGACATCCTGCTTTGTGCCAGATGTGGACCAAAACGAGTAAGGTCACTGATCCAAGCCCTGATATCATGGCCATTTTTGGAGCCAGCCACCGGGAGTTATACCTGAATTTCCACAATGCCCCCAGTTATCCTGCAAACCCTCCCAGCAGCCAAATCCTTTCTGTTAATTAGCAGAGTGACTTTTCTGATGCAATTCACTGCAGCCAAGAATGAACATGCACCAATAAACATTGCAGCAAACTTTGAGTGCAATTACAGGGACCCAGGATGGGCTGCCAAGCAGCCCGCGCTCGCTCAGGGGATGGCTCTGCACATCTGGCAACGCTGGGCGAGCACTCCAGGCAAGAGCTGTGACCCAGGCCTGCTCTGGGTGCCGGGGAGGGAGGGTCCTCCAGCACAGGGGAAAGGCTCCAACAGCCAAAGGCACCAGCAGGCCTGGCACTGGCACCCACCTCAACTACTCCTTCCTCTCCACATGCCTGTGGTTGCTTCTTTGGGACCTCTGTGCCCACACTGATCTGGATGGGGAGAGCAGCTTCCTGCTCCTCCACTGCACATCCAGGAGGAGGCTCCTGGTTTTGCAGATGTCCCAAACCACCAGCTGGGAACAGCAACCTCCTGCTTCAGGTGGGAGAGAAGATTCAGAGGGATGTGGGCAGCAATCAGCTGGGAAGAGCAGGAGTTGTGTCCTTCACCTGCATGGCAAGGAGGGCTCCTGCTGTGGGACTGGGCAAGGAATCCAGGAAGATGGACACAACCCGGCTGGGTGTGATGGCACCTGCAAATTACCATGTGCTGGGCTGATCACACAGTGTGGGCAACAGGGGAGGGGGGAGATTCTGCCCCTCTGCCCCCTCAGCTGAGACCCCACCTGCAGAGCTGCCTCCAGCCCTGGGGAACAACAGCACAAGGACATGGAACTGCTGGAGCAAGTCCAGAGGAGGCCACGGAGATGCTCTAAGGGCTGGAGCCCCTCTGCTCTGGAGCCAGGCTGGGAGAGCTGGAGGTGTTCACCGGCAGAAGAAAAGGCTCCAGGGAGACCTGAGAGCCCCTTCCAGTGCCTAAATGGACTCCAGGAGAGCTGGAGTGGGACCTGGGATAAGGGCCTGGAGGGACAGGACAAAGGGGAATGGCTTCCCAGTGCCAGAGGCCAGGCATAGATGGGATTTTGGGAAGGATTGTTGACTGTGAGGGTGGTGAGTCCCTGTCACAGGTTGCCCAGTTCTGGGACACGATGATCTAGGGATAGAGGCACAGACAGGGTGGTTTCCAGCCAGGAGGCCCAGGCAATGCCCGGCTCCTGCTGCTTTTCATGGAATCATAGAATCATTACAGTTGGAAAAGACCTCCCAGACCATCGAGTCCACCTCTCACTGATCAACTTTCAAACCCGAACCAGGCAGCAGCTCCCCAGTTTCACTTTCACACTTTGTTACAGTTAAACGCCCCATTTTCAGGAAAGCAGCAGCCAACGCCCCACGGCCCTTCTGAAAGTGAAAGCAGCATCCACGGCAGAGCCGGGGCCAGACAACGAGGGGAGCTGCGCTGGGCTTCTCCCAGCCCCGAATCTCCGGGCATGGAGGGAGACGGTAGGACCTTGGGGCTGAGCTGCGGGGCTGGGAGCCGGGATCAGCGCGGAGCGGGAACTTGTTGGTCTTCTGCTTCCCATTCTGTGGGTTTTCCCATGGCTGAGAGATGCCAGGGAAATCGAAGAGGGGTCTGAGGGCAGTGGACGGGTGGTCTGTGCTCCGAGTGGGGCTGGAGGAAGCCGCCCGTGCTCACAGCCGCTTTGGGGCAGCTCGGGGGATCCGTGTGCGCTGCGGGGGCTGAGCTGGGAGGGTGGGAAAGAGGAGGGGGGGGAGGGGGAGGGAGCGAGAGCGGGGAGAAGGAGTAGGATCTGGGGGGATTCAGGGGCAGAGTGGTGTGTGCAGAGGTGCAAAGCCCGGCGCAGAGCCGGCAGCGGGGCTGGCTGGGGACAGATCCCTTGCGGAGTCCCTTCCCTTTGCATCCCGTGCCCGGCTGGAAACGCTCCCTGCAGGCGGGGCCGATCCTGCCCGCCCCGGGCACCACCAGCCCCAGGCGGGTCCGGGGGCCTGCGCTGCCCTGAAGGCAGGAGCGGGGGGTGCTGGGGCCGTCCTGGGGCTGGGGGGGCTGCCTGTGCCCCGCGCCGCTCCTGAGGGAGCAGGGCAGCTCCGGGGGGACGAGGGGCCCTCCTGGCACCTCCTGCTCTGGCCCCAGGCCTGGGGGGACACTTTGTCCTTTTCCTCGGCGTGGAAGGAGGGTGAGATTCACCTCTCTTACAGTCGAAACTTCACAGCCCAGAGCGCTCTGCTCCCTGCTGCAACCCTTCAAAGGTACAAAGGCTTCCAGAGCCCATTTCCATGGGGCAGAGCTGGGGAAAACACTCTCGGGGGGCTGTTCCCGAGAAATGAGGTGCAGGCATTCCCATGGCAGGTCCTCCTGCCAGCCTTGCTGCTTCCCTCCCTCGCTTTCAAAGAGGAAAGGGATCCCGAGCTGTCCCATAAACGTGCTCAGTGGTTCTCTGCACTAACACAGTTGCATGTGGCTTTTCCCTGTTCCTGAAGCAATGGGAAACCGTGCTGGGACTGCAAAGGGTGCCTGGGGGCTGGTTCAGGGTCTGGCTGGGCTGGAGTTCATGTTCTCCAGTGCAGCCACCGGCACCTGAGACTGAGCCAATGCTGGCAGTGCTGCAAGGGGAGAGAAGCTGGGAGAGGACAGAGCTGGGACAAGTGACCTGAGGGGACAATATCCAGCAGTGGCCCTGACCCAGCAGGTGCCTTCCCGAGCAGCCGCCCTGCCCCCGAGGCTCTGCTGCCCAGGCACCAGCTGCACATGTGCCCCTGAGGGGAATTGATGACTAAAGTCCCTCCTTTGCTTTGCCAGCACACCCAGTTTACCTCCACTGCCTGAACTCCCCTGACCTGGCCCCAGTCGTTTTTCTTCCCTCTGCTTTACCCCTTCTCTGTCCCATCCCACTGGCAGGAGTGCAGTAGCTACTGGGGGGGGACTCAGGGCCTGGTGGGATCCAACCCCAGTGCCATTTCTCCCTCTTCAGCTCTCTTGGAGCCCCTTTAGGCACTGGAAGGGGCTCTAAGGTCTCCCCAGAGCCTTCTCTTCTCCAGGTGAACACCTCCAGCTCTCCCAGCCTGGCTCCAGAGCAGAGGGGCTCCAGCCCTGCGAGCATCTCTCTGACCTCCTCTGGACTCGCTCCAGCAGTTCCATGTCCTTGTGCTGTTGTTTCCCAGAGCTGGAGGCAGTTCTGCAGGTGGGTTCTCAACTGAGTGGAGCACAGGGGCAGAATCCCCCCCTCCTGTGCTGCCCACGCTATGGGACACACAGAGGATTTCTGGCCTGTGTCCAGCCTCTCACCCACCAGCACTCCAAAGTGCTTCTCCCCAGGGCTGCTCTCCATCCATTTTCTGCCCAGTCTGTCTTTGTGCCTGGGATTCTCAAGACCAGGTGCAGCCTTTTGCACTTCGACTCCTTGACATTCATGAGTTTTTCACTGGCCCAACTCTCCATCCTGTTGAGGTCCTTCTTGTGAGATGTCCTGGTTCCAGCCAGGACAGGGTTAAGTTTTTGGGGTTCACAGAATCCTAGAATATTGTGAGTTGGAAGGGACCCACAACAATCATCAAGTCCAACTCCTGGCCCTGCACAGGACCATCCCCAAGAGTCACATCCTGTGCACAAGTGTATCATCCAAATGCTTCTTGAGCTCTGTCAGCCTTGGTGCTGTGACCACTGCCCTGGGGAGCCTATTCCAGTACGCAGCCACTCTCTGGGTAAAGAAACTTTTCCTGAGATCCAACCTAAACCTGCCCTGACACAACTTCAGGCCATTCCCTGGGGTCCTGTCACTGGTCCCCACAGAGCAGAGCTCAGTGCCTGCTCCTCCTCTTCCCCTCCCAACGAAGTTGTAACTGCAGTGAGGTCTCCCCTCAGTCTCCTCCAGCTGAACACACCAAGTGCCCTCAGTGTCCTCACTTGGCTTCCCCTCTAGGCCCTTCTGCCTCATCTGCTTGACTTCCCACATTTGGGGATTTCCTGCTCCTGCCCTTAGGAGGTGGTGCATAAAAAGTGACCAGCACTGATGCAGCCCAGCCCCTTCCAAAGCCTCTTCCCAGGGGCCATCCCAAACTCTCTTCCTGAGCAGCCTGGAGTCTGTTCTCCTCATGTTCAGGGTTGAAGGTTTGCTGGCACTTTTCCTCCTGTCACCAGACATTTTACACTTGATGGCTTCGCGGTGGGACAGAAGATTCAGAGGGATGTGGGCAGCAATCAGCTGGGAAGAGCAGGAGTTGTGTCCTTCACCTGCATGGCAAGGAGGGCTCCTGCTGTGGGACTGGGCAAGGAATCCAGGAAGATGGACACAACCCGGCTGTGTGTGATGGCACCTGCAAATTAGCATGTGCTGGGCTGATCACACAGTGTGGGCAACAGGGGAGGGGGGAGATTCTGCCCCTCTGCCCCCTCAGCTGAGACCCCACCTGCAGAGCTGCCTCCAGCCCTGGGGAACAACAGCACAAGGACATGGAACTGCTGGAGCAAGTCCAGAGGAGGCCACGGAGATGCTCTAAGGGCTGGAGCCCCTCTGCTCTGAAGCCAGGCTGGGAGAGCTGGGGGTGTTCACCGGCAGAAGAAAAGGCTCCAGGGAGACCTGAGAGCCCCTTCCAGTGCCTAAATGGACTCCAGGAGAGCTGGAGTGGGACCTGGGATAAGGGCCTGGAGGGACAGGACAAAGGGGAATGGCTTCCCAGTGCCAGAGGCCAGGCATAGATGGGATTTTGGGAAGGATTGTTGACTGTGAGGGTGGTGAGTCCCTGTCACAGGTTGCCCAGTTCTGGGACACGATGATCTAGGGATA